AGAGGACTAAATACAAAGGGATCCACAATAGATAAAGCTCGTCGCAATGCAGAAAGGCCAAGGCGTCTCGATGACATTTTAATTTGGCTTAGGCGTTGGCGTATAAAAGCAAATGAGTCCAAGTCATCTCATGTCACTTTCACACTAAGAAGAGCAACTTGTCCGGAAGTAAAGCTCAACAATATTGTGGTACCACAATCAACTGCTTCAAAATACCTCGGAATTCATCTAGACAGAGGTCTGACGTGGAAAACGCACATATTCAATAAAAGGAAATCACTTGTTATTCAATTAAGAAATATGTCTTGGTTATTTATATATATATATATATAATACTCCTCTCTTACTCTGGAAAATAAAATCATTCTCTACAAATGTGTTTTGAAACCTGTTTGGTCATATGGCGTCCAACTGTGGGGGACAGCTTCAAATTCAAATATTGAAATATTACAAAGATTCCAATCTAAGACTCTGCAAATGATAGCGAACGCTCCGTGGTATATCACAAATTCATAAATTCATAGTGACCTTAATATACCACTAGTTAAGGAGGAAGCGAAAAGCATCGCTGCCGCATACGCTAATCGTATTAGATCGCATTCAAACAATTTGACTACAAATCTAATGACCCACCCTTAACTATTCACAAGACTGAAAAGATCTTGACCTTTTTCAACTTAAAACTGAAATAAGGTCTTCATAGCGATGTTTCAAAGGGCACATACGCAGCACAACTCTCATTTATGTTAATCATGTTATTAAAAATTTGTGAAATATCGAATTAGTTTTAGATAGAATACAATTATATATAAAATAAAAAAAAAAAATTTCTAACATGGAAGTTGTATTTTTCAACCATATTGTAAGTATTAAGACATAATTTTATTATTTTTTGTTAGCATGATAAGACAGCATAGTAAATATAAGTACTTTCAACTGACAGAGTAGTACCGCTCCTGATAGTATCTTTAGTTTAAATCTGCTTGTTACTGTGTAGTTACTTCCATAGCAAAACAATTTGGTAGGCCATAAAAATGTTACCTACTCTAAAGGAAATAAGAAGAGATATCACACTTGATATCATTTATTATTACCGTTCATTATTAAAATTTTCTTTACATTTCAAATGTCCTTTCAACCGAGAGAAAATGAAGAAGTAAATTAATCATAATCAGATACACTTAGGATCCAATAATAACTAAAAGTCTTAGTCAATGTATACGGATATGCCATAAGTTGACCTAAAAAAATAAATTATGGACTCTTAGGTACAGACAGCATTTTTGTTTGTTTAGTGCTCTAGGAAACAATGTTAATAAAGAAAAAATAACTGTCCACCATCTTAAAGCAAAATCATAATTAATGAAAGCTATAAAAGAATTTATTAATTAATTTGTTGTGGCATTTATTATAATATAACATTAAATTCATTTCGATTCAAAGGTTTTAGCGTCCAACTCCTACACCAAAACCTCCACCGGAACCAGCTCCAATGCCAACACCAAGTTGCGCTGTTCCGTGAGCTGAGGCACCTCCATAAGAAGCAGCGCTTCCACCTCCAAAAGAACCAGCCGAACCACCACCATATGAACCAGCAGCGCCACCTCCATAAGTTAAGCTAGAATCTCCATTACCTGGAATTAGTGATTTGATTTAATTGAATCCTATAACTAGAAACAATATCCTTGCATTATTACAGTATCATAACATAAACATTATACCTACTTATAATAAAATCTTGTTCATTCTGTTAGTTTTGTTATCGTTAAGTACTAAGTAAATAATAATCCATTTTGAAAAGATTTGCAATATTATGAACTAGCAGATTATTTTTATGATGGTGGGAGTTACTATGTTTCTGTGATTGTAGATTGCAGACAAAAATTTGATTGCCTGAATTTATATTAGAAGCAATAAGAATTTTATTTCAAATTATAAATTTTCTATTTTTCTTAAAGCAATTGTGTTTGATAAGATGATGTAGAACCTAATGATCTAATAAAATACTATTAAATGTTCTAACAATTTGATTGGCAAAAAATATACAGCATAGTTCTCTATGTTAATTTAAAAATTAAGTAAAGAGCCTATTAAACGGCATGATGTTAAATGTATATAACCTCAGAAGGTTTGGTCGTTTAAGGACTCATAGGAATACTGATGTACCATATTGATAGAAATATACCTGAAAAGAATTTCTGTCAATCGATAAGAATGTCGGAGTACATTTTTCATTATTTGCGTTGATGTCACCCAAAAATTTTCAATATATTATTTCTATGGAATGGTTAAAGCTTATCCTTTATCCTTACCTCCAGACGAACCAGCAGCATCACCTCCTGAAGAACCAGCAGCATCACCTCCTGAAGAACCAGCAGCATCACCTCCTGAAGGATCAGCAGCATCGCCTCCTGAAGAATCAGGTGCACCACCATCAAATGCTAAGCCACCATCTCCATTAACTGGAATTAATGATAGTTTTTAATTAAATCCCATTATTAGAAATATTATCCTTGGCATAACATATATTTATGCTGAATAGGAAGAATCATTATAATAAAATATAGTTCGTTTTGACTTTTAGTTTTATTCTCGTTTAGTACTAACTATACAAGTTGAAATCGAACTATTGTACAGATGGATTCCATGTGCTTGAGTATATATACTTGCGTCTTTAAATTAAAATTGATGAGTAGTTAGTAACATTAACAAAAATTTTTTACTGATTTAAAATTTCATAACTCAATACGTACTCTTAAAATCATGTTAATAATGAGTTAATAAAATACTAGGTTATACCGTATATTAATTTCTTTTTAAGATCTAGACTGGGAATGTTAAATAAAAGTCGTATGTGTTGATATCGCTTTTTATGATGTCTGTTTCCAATGATTTGGTATTTCAGATTAAGTGAAGAGGATTCGTTTAGTCTACTATCGTTATCTCTGCTAGGTCAATAAAAAAACTGTTTCTAGACTTGGGAACAATGCATATAAATAAATAAATAAATACTTTTTGCATCCGCATTTTCAAGAAGAAACATAGAAAGTGATTGATTGGTTACTCCATATATGGATGTGATAAACGAAGATGGGACTACTTGTATTATATAAATATATTCTCTTAAATATAATACATTCTGAGTTAGGAATGGATCCTTTACGGGTTCTTATGTGTCGTGGGCAAATGTTGGTGGCTAATTTGAGAATTTCTTAAATAGATTAACAATTCCGATAGTGAAATGAGGTAATCTATATATTTTAGTTAACTGCAAAGTAATACTATTACCGAAATAGAGTGTAAAAATTTTTATTAAATTGATTAACTTAAAACTATCAAAATGGTTAGCAAAGAATAAGCATATATATGAAATTTAAGCAGATTTTTCATAAAATTAATCTACGGTCAACTAAACCAATTATATTTCCTAAGCTTCTCTAGATGTATCCTTGGGGACCTGGGTAAGGTACACTTGGAGACCGTTAAGGAAGGTAGTACCATTTTCGAAATACTTCAGAGGAAGTACTTCTTAAAGAGCTTATCAGACTGTTTATCGCTAATAACGAAAAATCTATTAAATGATCTAAATTCGATAGGATGGATTTAGTCTGTATCTTAGGTTTTGTTGCCAACTATATACAAGTTATTAATGCACTTCAAAGTTATCTTTCCATATAATTATTGAATTATATGACCTAATAAAATACTGTTAAATGTTTTATCAATTTGATTGGAAACAAATATGCAGCACTGTTCTCTATGTTAATTTAAAAGTTAAGTAAAGAGCCTATTTAACAGCATGATGTTAAATGTATATAACCTCAGAAGATTTGGTCGTTTAAGGACTCATAGGAATACTGGAGTACCTTATTGATAGAAATATACCTGAAAAGAGTTTCTGTCAATCGGTAACAATGTCGGAGTACATTCTTCATTATTTTTTGCATTGATGTCACCCAAATATTTTCAATATATTATTTCTATGGAATGGTTAAAGCTTATCCTTTATCCTTACCTCCAGGAGAACCAGCAGCATCACCTCCTGAAGAACCAGGTGCACCACCATCAAACGTTAAGCCACCATCTCCATTACCTGGAAATAATGATAGGTTTTAATTAAATCCCATTATTAGAAATATCCTTGCCATAACATATTTTATATATATACATATATATATATAAGTATATATATATACATAATGTATATACTTGCTTCTTTAAATTGAAATTGATGAGTAGTTAGTAACATTAACAAAAATTTTTTACTGATTTAAGATTTCATAACTTAATAATCAGTAAATAATCAGTTTCATAAGATTTTACTAAGTTAATAAAATACTAGGTTATGTCGTATATTAATTTTTTTTTAAGATCTAGACTGGGAATGTTAAATAAAAGTCGTACGTGTTGATACCGCTTTTTATGATGTCCGTTTCCAATAATTTGGTATTTCAGATTAAGTGAAGAGGATTCGTTTAGTCTACTATCGTTATCTCTGCTAGGTCAATAAAGAAACTATTTGTAGACTTAAGAATAATGCATATAAATAAATAAATGAATAATTTTTGCATCCGCATTTTCAAGAAGAAACATAGAAAGTGATTGATTGGTTACTACATATATGGATGTGATAAACGAAAATGGGACTACATGTATTATATAAATATATTCTTTTAAATATAATACATTCTGAGTTAGGAATGGATCCTTTACGGGTTCTTATGTGTCGTGGGCAAATGTTAGTGGCTCATTTGAGAATTTCTTAAGTAGATTAACAATTCCGATATTAAAACGAGGTAATCTATATATTTTAGTTAACTGCAGAGTAATACTATTATCGAAGTACAGTGTAAAAATTTTTATTAAATTGATTAACTCAAAACTATCAAAATGGTTAGCAAAGAATAAGCAAATATATGAAATTTAAGCAGATTTTTCATAAAATTAATCTACGGTTAACTAAACCAATTACACTTCCTAAGCTTCTCTAGATGTATCCTTGTGGGCCCGGTTAAGGTACACTTGGAAATCGTTAAGGGAAGTAGTGCCATTTTCGAAATACTTTAGAGGAAGTACTTTTTAAAGAGCTTATCAGACTGTTTATCGGTAATACCGAAAGACCTATTAAATGATCTAAATTCGATAGGATGGATTTAGGCTGTATCTTAGGCTTTCTAGTGATACAGCAGTTAATTAAGGTTATTGAATATTACGAAACAACTAATGATTATTTTTTCTTGAATGTCATAATCTTTCAGTGTTGCCAACTATATACAAATTATTAATGCACTTCAAGGTCACTGGAAAGTTATCTTTCCATATAATTATTGAATTATATGACCTAATAAAATACTGTTAAATGTTTTATCAATTTGATTGGAAACAAATATGCAGCACTGTTCTCTATGTTAATTTAAAAGTTAAGTAAAGAGCCTATTAAATCGCATGATGTTAAATGTATATAACCCCAGATGATTTGGTCGTTCAAGGACGTATAGGAATACTGGAGTACCATATTATTAGAAATACCCTTAAAATATTTTCTGTCAATCGAGTACATTTTTTATTATTTGCCATGATGTCAACCAAATATTTTCAATATATTATTTCAATGGAATGGTTAAAGCTTATCCTTTATCCTTACCTCCAGGAGAACCAGCAGCATCACCTCCTGAAGCACCAGGTGCGCCACCAACAATTGTTAAGCCACCATCTCCATTACCTGGAAATAATGATAGGTTTTAATTAAATCCCATTATTAGAAATATCCTTGCCACAACATATTTTATATATATACGTAAATATATAAATAAATATATACAAGGTGAGATGAAAAAACTGCAACCAACTTCAGACTGCTGTCATTTCTAAACCGCTCGTCCCACAGCTGTCAGATTTATTCTAGTGACAGCTCATTATATTGTTTACAAGCGCACAAAAGCATTTTGGTGGGAATTTTTCAGAAAAAAAGTTATTTGTGATGGAATTCAAGCGTGATAGTGTGATTGCTTTGCATTTGGCTGGAAAACCACAAGTGGCTATCGTTAGAGCCCTCCAGCATTTAAAAGTGAATAAATCTTTTGTGTCTCGTATCATCGCTCGTTACCATGGTACTGGTAGCGTAGCCCGACGTCAAGGAAGTGGACGAAAAAAAACAGCAACATCGGCAGAAATGGTTCGAAAAGTGAAGAAGCGAATCGAACGAAATCCGCGTCGCAGTGGACGAAAAATGGCTCGTGAGCTGTACATATCGCAATATGCCATTCGGCAAATATTGAAAAATGAGCTTGGACTAAAGCCATTGAAGTTCCAAAAAGTGCAAGTTCTTACTGAT